GCTTGTTCTTAGCACAGTCCAAACTTCCCAAAGACAGGTGGGTCATAGCACCACCGCCGAGCCTTGCAGCAAGATGAATGTTTTTCAAACCATCACTTAATGCTGACAGCAAAAGTACCAGTTAGCACTGCTGGTTAGTAACAGAAAACTCATTTTATAGTGAGGGACTGGAGGGCTCAATGTCATGACTAAGGTGTCACAGCTTTGAAAAATCAGTTTTACAGGTGGATAAAGTGCAGCAAGATCCATACAGGAGGTTAACAAGAGGGACTGTGTGATGTGCATATGACCCACACTCCACTGTGGTGAATAGGTAAGTCAGCTCAGATGTCACTCACAATCCTGTTCAAAAACGAGCTGCTGAAAGAGCTCCAACAGAAATCAAAGTTAGGGCTTAAAATATAAAAAAGGGTTTCCTTCATAGAATACTGACGCTCCAATAAATCAGTCCTGCCAACTTCCCACCCCAAAAAACCAACCCAAAGCCAATACACAGAAGGACCTGCAGAGAACCATGCTGTATGTGCTCTTAGCAAACGTTTAAAATCCTCTGATAAGTAAAATACATAAAACCCCACAAGTAAGAAAAGCTACCAGCACAGACGGGTGAGAACGATGGTGAGACTGAGGAGTAGTGCACTGTGCATTCTACTCATTTCCACTGTTGAAGACTTATAACTTAATTAAAAGTGCTGCTTTTTCAAATGTCTGTTTTTTCAGTGGTTTAGACCATGACATAGCTTTCCTGAGGTTTTCAAGTGAGGGAGAGCACAGAATGATGGAAGTGCTACTAAAAGCATCCGCCCCCCTATCATTTAGATTGATGATATTGCAGGGGACAAGGCCACACCTAAAAAGAGCAAGATCAGGGTTTACTCTTGCCTTGAGAGTATTTTCTCTCTGTAAACATACGGCTAAGAAATCAATACAAGACTTAATCCTGGTAAACTTCCCCTAAATTTCAGCACTAAGAAATGGTACAGACTGCAGTGCAAATGCTGTAAAGAACTACAGCTGTATCTGTGCAAATCTTTCCTTCTGATTTTCAGTGTTGGGATCTGGAATGGTACTTCTTGGCTGTAGCCAACTAAATTATGATCCTTTTCCTTTCTACTGTAGAACTGGATTCTGCACTATTAACAAGAGTGGCATTTCTTTCTCTGACTTAAAAGTGTAACTCAATTCATTCTCAGAAATCACATACTTCCCATGCCTTACTCGTGAGCCAGGAGGACAGGAGGCTTTCATGGAAGCAGTGAAGTATGAGGAACCCGATGCTCAGTGTCAAGCACCTCTGAAGGTCAATGAGAGCTGAGGACTGGCAAGCTTCAGAGGAAAGATGCTCAGTAATTCTAGTAACAGCTCAATACTTGTAGTATCCCTGCAGCAGACCATAGTCATGGCACAGTAGATGCCTTTGCAATAGTGGACAATACTCTTGTGCACTGCAATAAACAGGTTCAGCTCCTTCCTCACACCCTGGTCCTGATCTGCTTGGGCTGACTGAAACTGAATTGGGAGTTTTAGTATGGAAGTCACATAGATGCAGCACCCACTGCATAGGAAAATACAAGCTGGAAGCGAGTAATGTCAGTATGCCTGGCTAACTTGGACAGAGCAAGGAGCCAACACTCTCTCCACAACTTCAGTATAAACGCTAGGATTTTTAGGTCTAAAGTAACCTGCAGTGTTTTATCTTCTATTTGCTATTTTTCAGACTTCCATTTTTGCTAACTCTTCTTTCCTCACCCTTTCAGAAGCTCAATATATTCACAGCCTGGCAACACCACAGCAATGGGCAGAACTAAAGCTTACAGAACTGGCCTGCCACTGTAACCAGGGAGGAGTTAACTTCCTGTGCTCACCTGGGTATAAAAGATGACACAGACACACGTGGAAACACCACAGCGCCTGCACAGCAGCTTAAAGGTGGCCAGGCAAGCCAGCATACTCAAAATTGCTTTAACTCCACAAATAAATACACAAAAGTACGCAACAGTTAGTTACATTTGCAGGTGAGCCAAAAGAGAAAGTTTTTCCAGTCATTTAGTATGGAATATTTGTTTCTTCTTACTACATCAAAACCTGCATTAGTCTGACTTAACATTGGTTTCCCAAAAGTTGAAGTTAAGAATGATGAGACATCCATATATTTTGTTTTATATATGTCATTACACAATACAAAGGGAAAAAATGCAACACAACTTTAAAGGTCCTACAGAACAGTAACAAAAGTTTCAAAGTGAGCTTTGCATCTGTTACCCAGTGATACTTCTGCACATCCCAACAATGAGTTACCATACTTAATAAAAGGAACCACATAAATCTCTTTTATCACAGAAAGAACAGTGAAACTCCTGACATTGCTTGGCTTGCTTAGTTTATGTGTTGGCCTAAATGCATTTTATGGTCTTATTTTAAATTTAAGCCACTAGGGTTTGGGTTTTTTTAAGTTAGGTTTTTGTTGTTTGTTTGGGTTTTTTTAAGTCTGAGAATAACCAAATAACATTACCACAACGCAATTAAAACCCCCTGGATACTTAAAGGACTTAAGTCGAATTACTTATTCTGCAGAGCAAGAACATGATTTACAAAGAGATTAAGTAGGCGTTGTTCCAAGCAGCAAGAATGAAAACTGAATGTATAATGCCAGGCAGTCTGCTCAGGTTTCTAAGAAAACAAAGAACATAAAACAGGGTCACCACCTTAGATTACTATATACAACCACTTAAACATTATGACAGTGTAAACATAATTCAAAAAGAAAATCACCATTGAATGCATTTATCAACATTGTACTTAAAATACTAGATTTCCAGTTTCTTCCAGATAAGTTCTCTTACTCAAATATAAATTGATAACCTCCTAAAATAACAGAATGCTAGTTTTACAAGGCTATTAAATAGTTGTATAATTTTTCTCCTACAGAGTGCAGAGAGATTCCTTGCAATCTGGAATACTCTTTTGCTGGTGTTCTATCTCAAGAAAAATATCATAAGCCTTAGAAACATCAGGAAGTTAGCTTTTCTGGCAATTTACTTTTTAGATCTGAATAAAATATACATCAGAAACTTGCAGAAATTGGATTTGGAAGGAAAAATAAAGCTAATGTTAAGTAGATCTGTTGTGTATTAATTTTGAATGAACTAGGCGCTCTCAGTTTACAGACCATTTTACACATCAAAGAAATTATCAGGATCAAAAGAAACTTAACTATAAACATTGCACCCCAACTGTTTCGAATCTGAGCTTCAGACAACTTTACAGACACAAATCTGAATGCCATAAAGTACAGAGCAGAAGAGAAGCCAAGCCAAACTAAACCAAAGATTTTCTTCAAAAGAATTTAGTATTTGCATTTTTTAGTCTGGCAAACTTTTAAGTTCAAGATTCTAACTTTGCATCAACATCTTAAACAATTTAAGGGTTGGCATGACTAGATGAAGACTGCAACTTCCAGGATGCATCAAAGGGAGGTGACTATATTCTCAACTGTAAATGCTGTGATGTAGTTGTTTTCCACATAAAGCAGTCAGCTAATACCTCTAGCTTCTCATTGTGGATATTTGCCTGTTGTTTGTCTATTCTTTTGAAGAAATACAGAGTATTTTAATACTGCTTTTAAGAGGCAGTAACTCCATGCAGTGCCAGCTATACACTGCTTCTGTTATAGCCAAAACTACACAGCAGGCTTCACCAATGGCCTCATAGACCAGGAAAACAGGAATCTCTAAAGGATGTAATAGGACTACTGCTAAGCCATCAAAACATTCTACAGCCTATGCCCACAAATTCAGGTTTTGGTGGGGATATTCTTTAAACACATCAATCAAAACAATGAATATAGGGCAGCTTTGGACCATCACCTCCATGGCAGCATTGATCTTAACAGCAATGTACTACATTTAATTTTAACCAGAATCCCTCGTCTTCCTCTTCTTAAAGTGCACTTCCGTAAAAACTGAGTATCTTCAGCAGACTCGTTTGATAATAATTTCCAACAACAGCTTCATAACAACACAGCACAAAGCTTATTCTCCCAATGCTTGCTGGAGAATGAATCTGAAGATGTGGTGTTTTTTCTGGAAAAAGACAAACCTGAAACAAAATAAGCCCAGTTTCCCATTCAAAACACATGAAAAAGAAAGCGGAGTGTGCTATAAGAAAGTTGCCTACACACTGGGAGCACAATGAATTTTATACAGATATATACGCTGTGCTCTAGTTAGAAATTCATCCTTGCTCAGATATCTAAAGGATAAATGTTATCCCCAGATTTCTGTGTAAACCCACATAATCATTTAAGGCTTTGCCTCCTTCCTGGATTAACTATTGTACAGTTAACAGAAAGAGTTTCACCTCCTGTCTTTTACCCAGGGGGAATATCAACTCTCCTGTCTTTATCTCCAGTGTATAAGAAGTTACTGAACAGTTGTGTTTCCAGAGCAGTGTCACTTCAAGGTACTGACACAAGATGAAACTTGCTTCAATAGACGGAACTGAGTATCCAACCACTGTAAAGAAACTGAACTTCCAGCTTCTTTAAGTCAACTCTTATGAGACAGAGCACAACTCCTTTTACCCAGCTGAAGCAACATTCACCAATCATTTTGACTGGCCATCCTATTCAGAAGAGGTGAAGCAGTGGACCATGCTCCTCGGCATCATGCTGGTTACTGAAGTGACCAAACACATAGAGCTCAATAGAGAAGAGTAGTTTGGAAGGGAACACCGCCACACAAATATGAAATCTGTTAGCTGTCAACAACAACAAAACAAACTGAGAGGCTGGGGTCGTTTCACAACGAGCGTGAACTGGATATGCAGGAAAATAAAACTACACAATATAAATTTCCCAAGTCATTCTATGTATAGCCCCATTTCTCCGTACACACTCTTGGGCAATGAATACAAGAAAGCTGAAGGGGCATCAGTGTGGATATGAGTTTCTCTTCCCTTGAAGTGCCTCCACTTTCCTAACACAGTAGCACTTCTGCTTATCACTGCTCATTAGTGCCCTCTGTTGCATCTGATGAAGTCTTGTCTGTTTTCTTTGATTTCCTCTGCAGTTGCTCTTGTTCCCTCTTCCGAAGCTTTTCTCTTTGCTTTTCCATTTTCTCTTGAGCTTTGCGAGCTTTTTCCAAGGATGCTTTCATTTCCTTCAGCTTTTTCTTAACAATTGCTCTGTCCTGGGAAGATGTCATACCAAGAGCCTGAGGTGGGCAAAACAAAATTGACAAAGAAAAAGAATTTCATATGGATTAATCTATCACTTTTTTTTTTTTAATACTCTAGTAATAACTCTTCTTTAGTAGAAGACTCTAACAACTAAGCAAATTTGAGACAGGCTCAGGTACATTACTGATGTGTAAGACACTACTGTGCTGCTTTCCACGCCTCCCACTTCTAGAATATTAAAAAATCCTATCTCATTGCCGCCACAAATTTCATTGATCAAATGAGGCAAATAAAGCTTAAACTATTTGCTTGAGGCCATCTAAGTCTACACAGAACAAGACTTCCCAATTCTCACTGCTATGCCTTAGTCAAAATTTCACTTGTTCTCTTCTAATACCCCTAGTTAGTGAAATGCCAGCAAAAAAATTCTGAAAGGAAACACTAAACCTGGACTTTCAGATCTGCTGAGCTTCCCACAACTCCTTCCTGTAATTATTTTTGACAAAAGTAGGCTCATATTTTCACTACATGAAACAATGCTTACTTTATACATCAAAACTGGTTTTAGTTCTAACATAGTACAACAGGTGACAGCTTATGTGTCCAGTCTCCCACAAATCCACTTTGCAGTTGCTATTTCTGATGTATGTCTATTTACTATCTTCTCTGAATTACCCCTTCACAAAACAGGTGGAAGAGGAATACATGCATGCGAATACCACTTCTACACATGCAAATACAGGTACTTTATATACACACAGAGTTTTGACTAAACAAATGCCCTCTACTCCTGAAGCTTCTGACTTCATATGGGAATTTCTTGAAATGTGGCTGTGGCTTTATGCTGTGTGTTTATTATTCTAGTCTATCAGCACTCCACACAAAGGGATACACTATTTCTGGCTGAAGAGTTACTGCCTTTAAGATTACCTGAAGTGACAACAAATACTACAGTTAGTCCTGAAGTACAGTGAGTCAATTACCTTGAGCTTACTCCCATCCAGCTGGAGGAGATGCTCCCCATTAATGTTTTGGGCACTGAATTCGGAAACATACTGCTCAAGGTTCAGGCTCATTAACCAGTGGGACACCTGCTGCACGCTCCACTCCTGAACAGCACGACTCTGACACTGACTGTGCTTAGGAGACTGGCCATCATCAAGGATCTGTGACAAAAACATGCTGCATTATCATTAAAAGGATAACACGATGAGTAACATCATTTTTGTGTACAAACCACCAGCATTACAGCAGAGGTATATCTGTGCTAGCTTTACACTACAATAATAACAATTTCACACTACTGCATCTCATCTGTATCTAACCAGACACCTAAGAATTGCCATAAGGTACCCCAAAATTCTTCTATCTATAAATAGAAAAAGATAAAGGAACTGACATTCCTTTTAACCCAAATAGGAACTGAAATGGCCAGGTGGCACAATGCAAAAGAGGTATGCTTCCATGCCCTCACAAGATTTTTATCCTTCAAATTAGAACACTTCTAAAGGATGCACTGAATTCTGCATTCTACTTCCTGGGCTTATTCACAGACTTTTATGATATTTTTAAGCTATAATCAAGAAATTCAGGGAGGGGGAACCTCAGAAACCCACTCTACAGTTCAAAGTGATGACATCAAACAACCAGTGAGACTGATACTATCTATGGAAGACTATGAGATGACACAGAGGAGGGGTAAGGAACACAAAGCGATCCCACAGCCCTGGCCCTGCTCTCATCATGTTGTGCCACTGCTGCTGCAGAGGAGAGCATGAACACAGCACCAAGAGGAGCAGGCGGGGCGTCAGCTGCTGGGGCAGCCCCATGTCCCTGCCCTGCCACTTCACTTCACCCAGAGGTATGTCAGTGGGGCCTGAAACAAGAGCTACTCGGCCCCAGCCATGGTCAGCAAAGCAGCTGCTATGCACTGCAGCAGCTGCCTGCTGTTAGAGCAGCTTTCATGCTGTGTTAGATGACACTGGGAGCTCTATCAGTTTCTGGCTGACCAGTTCTCAGGGCTGAGGAAAAGACGGTTCAAGCACTATCTTTTCCTTCTCCTATTGTGAGCAGGAGCTCAGTGCAGTTGATGCTTGGCCTGGTAGATTTGCTCTGACACAAACCCTCCTCCCCCTTCCAATATACTGCAAAATCTGCAATTTGCTACGGCCTTGAAAACTCCTAGCAGAAAGGAGAGGGGAACTCAAGACAAGCAGAGAGGAGCCAGTGACATCTGCGTGTTCTGCTCGAACAAGGGGGTTTGCCACACAACATCATAAAACAAGGAATGTGAATCTGCAAATGAGGTGGTACATTGCCACACGATGGTCACACGATTCACCACAACAGCACACTAGTATCTCACCTCATCATCAATCATATCCAGGCTCTGAGTGAGGGAGCAACAAAGAAATGGGAAAGAAAAGCATTATAGAAACAAAATACAGAACATGTAACAGCATGTAAAAGTTCAGGCAAGGGCAGCACCAAGATTTGCAAACAGATATGGCTACTCAAAACCAAAGAGATTTCTTTAAAAAAAATTATTTCCAGAAGCAGAGAGGTTATGTTGAAAGCTCAGCACAAACATGATTTGGCAGCTAAACCTGAGACCATGCCAGTGAAACCCCCTTAGAGTTTCTAGTCTTGACATCCTAGAACCAGTGGGAATCTTCCTGATGGCTCTAATTCCAAGAGCAAAAGCTCCTTTATTAGAGGAGAACAACACTTTCACTTTTTTCATCTCCTTCAAATAATCATGATTTGCCAAAGAAGCTTGAGTGAAGGAGAGTTTGCAGCAACAGGCTAGGCAAGGCTGAGGGGCAATGCTGGCCTAATCCCCTACCAGAGTGGTTGTGGAAGCTTCTACTGCAGCTCTTGCTGAACATATTGCCTGATTCAGAGGCTGTAATTTGGCACACAGCATAGGATGGGGAAAACACATTCATTTTTATAGACCTGTTCAGGCTCAGTATTTCAGAAGTGATTAAGTAGAGAGCTGAACAAGCAAAATGAAAGCATTTTCAAGCTTTTAGTTCAATACCACTGGGAGCAGAGCACTGTCACAATAAAATACGTAATATAAGGAGAATGAGACATGGTAAGAGAATGAAACGTACTATTGAGATTGTATTATCACTAAATAAAATCTAAAAGACAACTTTGTGGTTTTCAGTAATTCATAGAATATAGAATTCATAGAATTCACTCTATATAGGAGTGTCTACATTCTCCTATGATTGTTATAAACTTTTGTCCTTTATTACCTGCAGGACATAACCTCTGAAGAATGACTGTGTTTGTAGACTTGCATGTTGTCAAATGAGATTGCATGGTCCAGCTCCCATTCTTTAAACCCATGCAAAACATGTAGGTAGTAATAGAACAAACCTCTCTCTCATACAAAAAAAGAGACATATATACTTCAAGTTCCTCCTCTCTAGTAAAAAACCCTGGCTGCAACCTCACATGAAAAATGTGAAGTTCTTAAGGAGCATTTGTAAAAGGAGAAAGACACAGGTTTCCTGAGTCCAAAAGACATGTCAGCTACTGCCAAATTGTGCAACTTCACTGACAACCGAGTTACAAAACTCGTATCTGAAGAAAAATATTTTCAATATATTATATTCAGCTCAATTATGTCACCAATTTACAGGGTTAGGAATACTTTTCCACATTAGCATTGTTCGAAAATACTCTGGTTTGAAGTAACTGATTCAAATCCACTGTGCAAAGCAAGCACGAAGCATGCAAAGTGGATTAACACATATACATTCTAACCAATGTACATACATTCAGGTACAGTAACACACATGTTATTTTAATGTATCAGGGTAAAAATTAGTCTAGGTGAAAGTGCCTAACATCTCAACTGTATTTACCAAACTATACTGTATGTTTATGATCTCAAAACTGTCTCAACCATGTCTAGTTTAGTGTATGTTTATATCTATCTATGGGTCCACATGTACATATCTAGCAAACATACTGAAATGTGTGAGGATATAGCATCTCTTAGAAAACAAACTGCATTCTACTTTCCTACAGCAATACCATAAGACCTTTATTTCAAGTCATTATTATATGAACAAGAAAAACCATAACCTAGAAACCAAGAATAATTTCCTCTCCCACTCTATTGCCCAGAAAATAACCCTTTATTATTTGAGTAATTAGGAAGCAAAACGCTAATGGAAAGAAAACAACTGTTTCACATCTTAATTTCATCAGCATACCTCATCTGACGACAGTGCTAAGGAGTGTGAGAAACCTGGGGGTTTAGGTTCTGCTCCTAAACCACTCAGATCGGCTGAACTTGTGCTGCTGGGACTGAAATCATCGTTGAACGTGAAATTCTGTGGAGAAAGAGATGAGTTAGAATGAATGACCGATCTCATATGCATATCTGAAAGGAAAATTTGCTTCCTGTCTTCATTTACCCAACCAGTTATAATACACATGAGGAAGCCTAAGTTTTAGTATAGTTAATGTTTATAGAATAGCCTGTATTTTTACCACTGTGTACTTCAAGAGACACCTTTGCCAGCTTAATGAGTCAATGAATAGCAAAGGAGTCTGAAAGCAATTTCCAGACTCCCTCTTAAGATGCTGGCTCTCATCCTTGAACTAAATTATTGCTTCTGTGGGTTAATCACTAGCATTTTACTGTCCTCCAAATATTTAGGACAAGTGTAGCACAGGCAGTAGCACAAAGAATAGGACAGAGGATTAATTAGCAGAGAGAAGTGAAAACTGCTATTGAGAGAACAAGGAGAATATCCTGTGAATACATTTCTGAGTCTAAATAATCGCCTAGAAAAGTGAAAGGAACTCTTTGCCTATACCTTTAGAAAAAAATGAAATTGAAAGTATAAGAGATCTTTGGACATTGAGTGTTACTTACTGAACTAACAACCATAAAACAAACATCACATCTTACAGCAAAGAACAGTGAAAGAATGCATGTATTTTCCAGAAATGCAGCAAAATTACCATCAGAAGAAGACAAAAATTAACAAGTATTTCCTATTAGAGTGAGAACCATGAAAAAACCCAAATCTCTGGATCTAAATATAAGGACACCATGATATTCCATTTAACTTGAATTCACACTTTATGACAGAGACACCTCTAATGTCCACTCTAATATCTAAATGAATATAAAATTCAATTCACCTTTGACATTCAATTTCAACAAAAAAAGGATCCAAACATCAAAATCAAAACCAACACTAAAAATGTTACCTTTTTATTCCCCCCCCCACCCCCCCCAGATAGTTCCTGAAAACCAGAAGTCTTTCAAAAATATCAAGTGCTGGTCCTTGTAGTGTTGACTGAAATCCAACCAAATACTGGTACACGCTGTGTTTTAAAAACCTGAATAGCAGTATAGGAACTGTTAATTTAAGAGCCTGCAAACTTTACAGAGAACACCAAAATGTTTTTGTAGTCAGTTTTCTCACACCTACATTAAGAATTTCTGTTCTGTTTTTCTGAACTCTTTATAGAGGAGAAGAAAATCTGAAGCTTCCTTAATATGCAAACTTTTAGCCCCCACAGTGTTCTTAGGCCAGGAGTTCAACAGCTCTACCTCCTGTTGTGTGAAGAACATCTTTATCTAAGTACTTCGATTTTTCTTTCACCTCTATTTTGTGCAACCTTCAGCTTTACAATGAAGTCTTTAAAATGTAATTTTCTATAGGAAAAACACAGGATAGCCAAGGCCTGCTAATAGTTATGATAGCAGGACAACCCCCCAAAAAACCCTCAACCTAACTGTAAAAGGAGGTGCTTTTCTCCCCATTTGAAAATTACTTTTACACAATGCTTGTTTGAAGGCACAAATAGGATTTATATGTCTAATCCCCATCTGTCTTTTTCAAAAGAAACTGGGTAACGGATTGCTTTCTCCTTAAACATCAGAGATTTAATCTGTGGTCTTCTCTATCCGTCTTAACTAGGACTGGTCAGCCCTATGTTGCTCTCCCCACCAGATAACACAAGCACAACTATGCCCTTGCACACCTTTGTGCACAGCAGAAGTTAAGGTATCACCAGCTTCTAGCATCATAAGAGTAAGAAATGCCTGTGCAAATTACTATTATGTACATGCATTTGTTGGTAGAAGACAGAGAAATTAGATTTCTGATTCATATTCCTGTACATAAAGTTGAGAACAGTATCAGTTTCTTTTTACCAGACCAATATAAAAAGTCAACTCCTACAAGTTGTAAGAAGATACAGGCAGAGAAATATTTTCCAGAAGTTAAAATAAACATGAAAAAGCTAAGTATATTACTAAAACTAAGGGTTATTTAAGGAGTTATCATGCTGAAACATTCATGCACATAGAAAGGAATCACACAGATGTATTAAATTGCAATAGTTCATGTTTACAGTTCAAGCATCTTCATATAGAAAATTAAATCCAACATCCAGCATGCATGACAGACAGATTTCATTACTGGGGGAAAAAAGGCAGATGACTGACGGCATAGAGCATTTCTTCACTTGCAAACACCTCATTTGAACATGGGTAGGTACTCCCACAATCAGTCCTGAAGAATGCAGAAAATATCCATAACTGAATACACAAATCTAGCATTTGTTCAGTGGATCCAAATGCTAATTTCCACTGGCATCTCTTGCTTTTGTTACGGTACAGCACATCACAGTTAGTTTACTGAATTAATGTACATTAAGACAGAGTAAAAAGGTAGAATGGGGAATGGTACAATGATAGAGATGTTCTGTTTGGATGTGCTTTTACTGTACAATGAACACCATGCTCTGTTTATTGTAGTAGTCACATATTGGCTTGTTCTTTATCCAGAAACATGAAGCCAATTATGTCACTCAACACAGTGGGAATAAGGTAGTTTTTATTTTCTACCTTTGACCCTTTTTTAGCTGGACTTATATTTTCAGAGGAAGGTTCAGTTGAGCTGGCAGAAGATGGCAGGTTGCTGGAAGAATGGGATCCCTTGCCACTCTCTCCATACCATGTGAATGGTACACAGTGTGGGAGAGAAGAGGATCGATCTGCTACAGCTCTAGTGTTTGCTGATTTCTGCAGCATCTCTCTGATGGTCCTGTTTAAAAGAAAGGAGTAGGAATATGTGTTAGATTATAAAATAAGAGAAAACAAAATGCTAGAGGCAGTTAATTGTAAAAAGAGTGACATCCCTTATAACTGTGACTAAAGAACTGAGTGGCACAGGGCTGGTAGGAGCATGCCTGGAATCCCTCTTTCAGCAGAAGAAAAAAGTGGGGTTTTTTGATGCAGTTTTTTAACTGAAGCTCTCTTAGACAATGTATACCCAGCAAATGGAGACAGACATTGGCTTTAAACTTAAACAGAAAATGGCTTTAAACTTAAACAGAGGAACTTCAGGTTAGATATAAGGAAGTAGTTCTTCACAGTGAGGGTGGTGAGGCACTGGAATAGGTTGCCCAAAGAAGTTGTGAATGCTCCAACCCTGGAGGTGTTCAAGGCCAGGCTGGACAGAGCCTTGGGTGACATAGTTTAGTGTGTGGTGTCCCTGCTCATGGCAGGGGGGTTGGAACTAGATGATCTTAAGGTCCTTTCCAACCCTAACTATTCTATGATTCTATGACACCAGCTGAAAATGCCTGTACTCCTCCACTCAGATGTGAACCAGCTCCACTCAAGGACCCACATGTTATGCTGGTACTTGTCTGAGCCCCAGTGGTAACTCAGCATGATTAAATAGATTAGACTCAGCACTGACCCAAGTGGGCTCTGGCTCCCAGAGAATGTCTGGCTTGGATTTTGAGCACAGGCAGAATGGATCAGGTGCTTCTGTAACCATCTATGGAGATATGCCTTTGTTACAACAACTAAATACTGACAAAAGAATTATTATCTTGAATTTAAAGTTACTAAATATGAAAAATATTAATACAGACAAAATGAAAGAAACACCTTTGTGGTATTATCATCTCCTCTGCAGTGACAAAGATTGCAGTGGATAATGTGATCAAGGAAAAGGGAACAATTATAACATAAAATAAATGCCTAAATTATTCACTACATATATGTCAACAGTACAGTATGCAAACTAAAAACAACTACGCAAAGTGTCTGCCTCAAAGAACTTCTGCATATGTCATACTGTCCTTTTATGTTAACACATATATTACTGTTTCAGAGCATTAAACTTGTACTGCTCTGAACAGCCACCAGTAAACTGCATGTATGTAAATCTCCCCTCAACTTCTACCTTCTGTAAGCTTCTAAATCATTATTATCACAATCACTAGACCTTTTTATATTGTGAAGCCTCTTTCATGTATGGATGAAACTGAGGTTGTCAAAGGGCCCCCACACATGGAAGCAGAAGAACCCTGCCTCCCTTTTAGCTATGTAAAGAAAGGTAGATTTATCTGACCCAGTCCTGTACTCCTTCACCATCCTCTAATCTTGCTTGAAAGTAAAAAGAAAAAACAAATGATGTTGCCCAAATCACCTCAATTCAGGCAGAGGAATGTATTTCCTACTTAAATGGGGAATTTTCTATATATGCAACATTAGTGGTACTCTTAGGCAATAACTGAGGATTTATTCACAGATCCCGAGTGCTACTTTTTGGCAACGGCAAAATAACACATGCAACATCCATCTGACAGTGTGATTAATTCTACCTCAATCAGTCACTGTAATGGACATAATTATAACAGGATGCTGTCTCCATCATCATCTTCCTTCTTTCAAAGAGCTCATACAGCACTGGACTGTAGAGAAAACATCCTTACATTTCTTCTGAGGCAAATTCTTTGGAGTTAGTAACAAAGGAAGTGACAACGAGTGTTTAAAAAGCTATACCGAAATAATAACATTCCAGTTTAAAGAGGCACAGTGAGAATTACAAATGGTTATGAATTTTGACTTTGAAAATGGTATTAAACTTTGGTTTTAGTAACCGTACCCTAATTCAGAAATATTAACAAACAATACAAATAACTGGTTTACTGAATGGTCTAATAAGCAATTGACCTCTACACTGAGATCTGCTTCCTCTAAGTAATATACTTGTGTGATCTCACAAATGTCTGTAACATACTATATTGCTATAAGGAATGTAATCAAGTTCAAGTATACAAACCAGTATACATTCATTTTCCCCACCCTGTAGCTTGGTATTTAAATGCTGTATGATATGTAATACTCTGCCAAGGGCACTAGCTGCCTTACAGCTACACAGAGGTGGAGAGAATCTGCTTTAACAAATCTCTCCCTGTCACCAGGGACATCCAGCTGCGAACATCAGTAACTCCAGGTCACACTGCATGCAGACACACCAGTGGAACCAAGTGGAACATGTTTTCTGACACC